TTCCGAAGCCAGGCTCAAAGAAACAGGTGCGAGAGTTCCTAGGAGTGGTTGGCTATTGCAGGATTTGGATTCATGGCTTTGCTAAGGTTGCCAAACCCCTGCACGAGGCCACTGTGGGAGGAAATACACCCCTCGAATGGACTGAGGCTCACCAGCAGGCATTTCAATTGCTTAAGACTGCACTTGCATTGGCACCAGCCCTGGCATTGCCAGACTTAAACAAGCCCTTTACCCTGTATGTGGCAGAGAAAAATGGGGTAGCTAAGGGAGTGATTACTCAGCTTTTGGGCCATGGAAGCAGCCTGTGGCATACCTCTCAAAGAAGCTCAACCCAGTGGCCTGAGGCTGGCCTACTTGTTTGAGGACAGTAGCAGCAGCAGCTGCTTTAACCCGAGAGGCTGACAAATTGACCTTTGGAAAAGATTTGACTTTGAAAAATAAGACTGAGATATTGGCATTGCTACAAACAATCTGGTTGCCTGGAGAGGTCGCCATCATCCATTGCCGCGGGCACCAGAAGGGGCTTAGCCCCGAGATGATTGGTAATAATGCTACTGACCAGGCAGCAAAACAAGTTGCCCCAAAATCAGTGGGGATGCAAATGGTTCTGTTTCCCACATGGGCACTCCCAGAAAAACCTGAATACACAGATAAAGACATAGCGGAAATGAACAGGAGGCACTGGACTTGAGGAAAACATGGATGGTGGACGACTAAGGATGAAAAGGTGGTGCTCCCAGCCGCTGTAGCAGATACGTTGCTGCGAGAACTACATGAGTCCACCCACCTCGGCGAGAAAAGGATGATGGTTGACCTGCAACCTCATTTCCTCAGTGAGGGATTAGCCCAAAAGGCCCAGGACATGGTGAGACGATGCCCCACCTGCCTCAAGGTAAATACAAATCCGGTAACCGGGCCCCCTGGGGTCCGACACAGAGGACTAACTCCAGGAGGACATTGGGAATTGGACTTTACTGAAATGAAGCCTGGCATGTATGGGTACAAATACCTACTAGTTTTTGTGGATACATTTTCAGGATGGGTAAAAGCATACCCCACTAAGAGGGAGACAGCTGAAATAACAGTTAAAAGGCTCCTGACAGAAATAGTTCCCCGTTTTGGTTTGCCCTTAGCTCTGGGGTCC